TACTTGTCACTCTACCTAATGTCCCAGGATAAATCTTATTCGATCAGTATTAATGAGCACCTACTACTTTCCGTGCCAAAAATGGGTCTTAATTCCTTTGGGTTATGTATTACTCTCCAAGCATTTTCTTTTAAAATGCAAATACCCTCTCTGGAAGGCAATGCATTAAGTCAATAACACCTCAGGTTGAACTAAGTTGGGGATTTCTTTCTTGTAAGACAAGAGTGAAGGACTGGACATCTTTAGCAAAAAGTAGAGCTAAAGTTCAGAGGGCAGAGGTGGCTGTAGAACTAAGGGCCAGGACAGAAAACCTCGTCCTTCCCATATCCTTTCACCAAGACAAACACATCCCTTCCATTATAAGCAGCAGCATTCCCCACAAGTACAGCTGGTGAGGATGGCTGCATTCTGTGGGAGAGAGGAGCCCGGAGCTGGGCAGCCTTTGCCCTGCCACAGAGGGGGCCGGGCCTGACTTTCACTGCCTCCAGGTTAAGGACGCCCTGAACCAGTGTCTACTCGCTCACCAACAAGTTCAGGACTTAGAGTTCAGGTAATTAGGCCTTTGGCAATCTCGCTTGAGCCTGCCAATAAAACTGAGACAAACCCTCAGCCCCTCTTCAGTAGGAAAAGAGGAAAGAAGGGAGAAAGGGAAGGAGATAAATATTTTTTCTATGCTGAAGTCAAGGCTTGGCAACCAGATGGGAGAATGCTATTAGTGTACAGAGCAGTCACTCCAAACCCCTCACCCCCACTCTCCACCCAGGGTTGTCCCCTTCTGCTACAGAGCCTGGCCTCCATCTGCCACCATCATCCGGGGTGACAGTGAACACCTGAACACAAACCAGGCAGTGAGGCCTAAGCTTGAAGAGGCAGACTTTCCCCAGTGTGGCAAAGGAAGGATGGAGGGATTACCAGAGTCCTTCCCCCCTGTGAGCCACAGCTCCCCTCCAAAAAGGGCTAGAGGATGCTCCAGAGTGTTAAAAAGCAACTGAGTGACTTCTTTGTACCCTGTCTTATTTTACCACCAGCTCAATCCTTGTCTGGGTTGCTGGAGAGTGGGGACCCATCTCTTACAATCTCCGGGTTGGCACAGCGCCCAGCAGGTACCAGGCACACAAATAGGAGTTTCCTTTTTTTTTTTTTTTTCCTGGATAATAAACATCAGTACTTCTTGTACATGTTCCCTTTGGTATGGAATGGAGTTCCACGCCGGGCCTATTTTAGTAGCCATCCTGCCTAAACTCACTCCTGGAAAATGCAAGACAAAAGGGCTTTTCTGTCACGTGGTGAGAAGGGGGGGATAGTTTAACAATAATAATTACTATTTATTGAGTGCTTGCAAGGAGTCTGACATAAGTACTTTACAAGGATTATCTAAGTTAACTTTTCCTAAAAGGTTTTTCCCCTCCACTGCCGTGGAGTCAATTTGACTCATAGTGACCCTATAGAACAGAGCTGAGCTGCTTCTCAGGATTTCCAATGAGTGACTGGTGGATTCGAACTGTCGACCCTTTGGTTAGCAGCCATAGCTCTTAACCACTACGCTACCAGGGCTCATAAATATATATATATATATATATACATATATATGTATATATATATTTCCATAGTGAGAGAACATAACCATACACCACCTCTACCATTAACCCTCTGGCCCAACCCACAGGGTCATCTCTTGCCTAGACTGCTGCAATAGCATCTGTCTGGTCTCCTTCCTTCTGCCCTTGCTTCCCTTCAGTGGAAGGAAACACAAGAGCTGGTACTATCATTAGCCCAATTTGCAGAAAGAAAAAAAAACTGAGACTGAAAAGGAAATTCAGAAATTTGTGGAAGATAACACAGAAGCTTCAATGTACGCTTATTGAACTGAATGGAAGGCTCCCATGCTATGCTAAGAATTGGGCTCCTATTCAATCTTGACAACATGTAAACAGGCCTAGTGCAGGCCCGCAAGCTCTTCTCCTGGAATGCAACAAGTCTAGCTAGCCTAAAAGTGTTTGGGGGCCATCTCCAGAGTGGTTGGTGTGTGCAGTCTCTGGGGCCCTTGAAACGGGTCCGAATGCTCCCATTTCGGCTGCCTTTCCTAGTGCGGGCCTCTAGTGAACAGAAATGGGGTTTCTAGCTCCTTATTCAGCGTCTCCTCCTGAGAGGTCCCGACAGTTGGGAACGGAGTGCATCAGCTGGGGTTCCCTGGAGTTGAACCGGGCCGACCGAGGCCTCCCATTTCCTTCTCGCCACCCCTGCAGACTGAACTATGCCTCCGGCGGAGAGACCTGGGAACTGCAGCCAGTTTTGGGGCCTGCGGTTGACCGAAAGCAGAGGACCTCGCAGCATCTTCTGGCCCCAAGCAGGAACCCTTAGAGACCCCTACCGCTCAGGTTGCACATGTGGCAGGAAGCGCTGCAGAGGGGCCCGGGCTGGGACTGGCGCGGCGGAATCTCGCTGGCCGCAGCCTCTCGTGGCTTCTCACCTACTGCCGGACTACCGCTAGAGGCCAAAGCCGCTGGCTAATTTTTCATGACCCCCCACCCGACCGCCTCCCTGGGTGACGCTAAGCCTGTGCGGTTCCTTTAAAGGCTGCGGGTTTTGTTCTTCTTTTCTTTTCCACTGGATGCCAAAATATGCAAATCCGAGGACCGGAATCTGCAGCCAAATCTAGAAGGAGAAGGGGCGCGGCCGGCGCGTCACCGGATCCGCTCCTTGTATGGCTCTTCCCGGCTTGGCCCGCCGCCCCGAGACCCTCCCTGCAGCCGCCGGGCCCCCTCCCGCGCCCAGCCGGGCTCACACCGCCGCCCACGCCCCGGGGTGGGCCGCTCCCCCCCCCCCAACCCCGGGAGGGAGCCGCGGGCGGGTAGCGCTGTATGCCCTGATTCCGGCTGGAGCCTGGGACGGCTGCAGAGCACTGCCTCCCCGAGCCGCGCGGGCGGAGGAGAGCCCGGGGGCGCTGTGCCTCCCCTGTATAGGTGTGGGGAGACTGGCGGGAGCGGGGCGGCGGTGGGGGAGAGGGGCTCCCGGGTAGCGGGAATCCCTCCTTTCCTGAGAGCTAGAGAAGTTCCAGAGGAGGCCGGCCCCTTCCCAGGCCCAGCTCTCCACCGAGTGAAGTGGAGGGGAGCGGAGCGAGGTTGTCATCCACCCCACCACGACGTGCAGCTCGGGAGTTCCTCCCACACAACCCCAGCCTGCGTGGTCCTCCCACGGCGTGAGGCTTGGGGATCCTCTCGTCCTCCTTGTCAACACTCCCACTACCCCTGAGAAATGCACGTTCCCCCAACCCCGACTCCCCAGCGGGGGACGTGGGATTCACCGCGCCACGCGGCCATCCATGAGGGAATCCTCCCACGCCAAGCCAGTGTGATTCGGGGTCGCTCCCCCAAGCTCCCTTCCTCTCCTCCCCCTCTACCGCGGCCCGGCAGCAAGCGCTCCAGGAGCAGGCCTCGGGGAACGCACCAGCCGCCCCCGGAATCCGCTGCCGCTCGGGGAGGTGACAGCGCTCCGGGTCGGCAAATATGCAGCCCTTAGCGGCAGGGCGCCGGCAGGCAGTAATGGGGACAGCCCTGTGGAAGGGGAGGGGGAGGGTAGAGATTAAGGGAGGCTGCCCTGGTAGCTCAGACACTGTGGGTTCAGCATTCGTCTGCTACAACTCAGAAGCAGTCCCTTTGCAAGCAGCAATAGACAGCGACTGCACGCCCCGGCCTGCTGGGCCCTACCGTCCTGTGGCCAAAGAGATTGCTTTGGAACCACTAGGGGATTTACTGGGGATTTGGTGCACGTGTTTCCTATCTCCTCAACTACCACAAAAACCTCACATCCATGCCGCTAGAGCCTGGTCCTCGCCACTGGCGAAGCCCAGCAGCAGCTACGAGTCTTCCCTACACAGCGCTTAGCGGGTAATGAGCGCAAGGTCAAGGTCCCGTTAAGGGGCAAGGGTGTGGACGGCGAATCAGAGATGAAGGTGGCACAAAAGCTCTCAAGATACTGGACCAGGGAGCCCTGACACGCTGGAATCCCCCTCAAAGGGACGCGCTCCTTTTCTCCTAGTCTAGGGTAGGGTCCTTGACCGTGAGGGTGTAGTGGGAGCCTGGTCTGAGCGCGTACCTTCCGGGTTTCCCTAGAGTTGACAGGCTGCAAAGGACGTCGCCGGGTGTTTTAGTTTCTCTTTCTTCCTGCTGGGGGTGTTCGAGGCCACTTCCAAACAAGCCCGCCCCCGCTGCCCCCCGCCCTACAAGCGCGCTCTCCTAGTGCAGATCTCAAAAACACACACACTGATACTGCTTTTTCAACTTCGCGCTGGGCGCTGGGCGCGCTTTGCGTTCAACCGCATCCCTCTTTCCTCTCTTCTCTCGCATTTTCCTTCTTTCTTCTCTTCTCTCGCATTTTCCTTCTTTCTTCTCTTCTATTTCTTTCTTTTTTTTGAAGAGCGGCGGGCGCCGCACGTTGGCTGCGGCCCGCTTCCTGCTTTCTAATGTTCCATTGTGAGGAGCTTCCATTGTGACGTCGCGCCCCTTCGGCTGGGCTTTGCCTGTCCATATATGGGCAGCTACGTCACGGAGCTTTCCCCGGGCTCAGATAAATAGGCTGGTGGAGTTCCCTGGCTGGGAGCTTTTGGGCAGCAGTCAGCTTGCTAGGAAGCGACGGGGCTGGTGGTGGTGATTGCAGCGGCAGCGGCAGCGGCAGAGGCGGCGGCGGCGGCAGCGGCGGCGGTGGCGGTGGCGGATCCGGGGACGGGGGGGCC